AGAAGCTTTTTCCATGGGAACATAAATTTATATTCAGTGAATTATATTAAGGGAATGATGTTATAAATATCCAAATGGCCCTTTGCAGAAAAAAAGGTTTCCCACCACTGTTTTAAGGACTCACCTGATTAGGCCAGATACATTCAAGATACTTATATCCTTTTTGATTAACGAAGTAAACTGAATAGGGAATCTTAAAATCCCTTTTGCAACGTAAGGCAACATACATAATTTACTGGTTCTACCTAAACTCAAGAGCAGGGGACTATACAGGATATGTACATGAGAGGGCAGGGATCTTCGTGGCTATCCTAGGATTCTACCTACCACAGAGTGATCCTTGGATGTATCCAAATAAGCAGGGGAGAAATCTTTTTGGATCTCTTTGTATCATATTTATGAGAACAAACATTACTGGGAGTACTAAGCCAGCTCTATTGCATGGCTTAGCCATGGTGAAATTGTTAAACAGGGAGAAAAGGGGATAGGGTGAACCTGAAGATTTGGGACAGCCTTGCAATGGCAATGGTAGAGTGAGCTTATGAATGAGTGAATTCAAGTTTTGCTGGACTGTTACTTAGGAAAAGGAATAGATATTTTAAAGAAGGAAAATGAGATAGTTTTCCCTGGAAGAGCTCTATTATTAGTGTTTGTCTGTTTGCCTCTGGTGGACACATAATACTGTTAATGCTCTATAGCCAAAGGACAAAACTGAAAGCAAAGTCATTACAGAGTTTTCCTTCCCTTCCCTAAGAGATAAACATTATTGTAGCCACTGATGAGTGAAATTTTCACTTGTTAATGCATGGCAGGAATCCATTATTGCTTCTCAGCAAATAAAGAAAAATACCAGGGAAGAGGTGAGGATTCTGAGCCCTGAAGGCTGTATTGTGAGAGCTGGTTCTTCCCAGGAACCAAAACTTGGCTGCCCACTCTGGAGCTCACATATTAGTCTTTGCATCTGCAAATCCAGTCCCTGAGCAGCAGGCGGTTTAGCAGCCCAGAAACTCAGAGCTGGCCTGCCCAGTAGGCACAGTAAGAATGTGTTTAGGGCATCAAAAATCAGGGGCACCAAAAACTGCTTTTTTCAAATAACCTGATATTTAATAAGAAAAGAGAATTTTGCTGAACTTCATTACATTTATTTTACAATATGACAATTTATTCTTTAATTTGAGACCTACTGCAAAAAGGTGGAAGTGGACGAGTAGGGAGTATAATCTTTTTGGTGTTTGTGGCCTTTAGGGTCTAGTGGGCTTAAGCAATCCCCAGGGACTTGTATAATGAAACAGGAAGAATCTGCTAGAGATGACATCTTCCAACCTGTTGCTTCCAGGTAGAATCATACCTAAACTATTTTCACACAGAATCAGAAAATGTGCACTCCATGTTTTGTTCTGTGCTATATCTCAGCACCTAGTTCTGTGCCTGGGACATAATAGCTATTTAGAAAACATTCCATGTGTGCATGGATGTTTCCATTTTTTTATTTTATTTAATTTTATTTTATTTTTTAATTAATTAATTTATTTTTATTACAAAGGTATATAATGGTCTTTATTATCCATGAATGAGTGAGATCATGTAGTATTTTTCCTTCATTGACTGGCTTATTTCACTTAGCATAATGCTCTCCAGTACCATCCATGCCGTTGCAAATGGTAAGAGCTCCTTCCTTTTTAGAGCAGCATAATATTCCATCGTGTAGATGTACCACAGTTTTCTAATCCATCCATCTACTGATGGGCACTTAGGCTGTTTCCATTTTCATCAGTTTCTTTCCTTCTCCCATGTGGCCCAATCTCCCTTCACTCCCGAAAGATTCCAAGGAATAATCAGATAACATTTTGTGTTTCTCAAACTGCCTGTTGATAAAAAAATAATCCAGGGCCGCTTTTCAAATACACAGATTACTAGGCCTCTCTGTGGGAAACTTTGGTTTAAGAAATCTAGGCTGGAGCCCAGGAATCTGTGTTTTTGATAATTACTTCTGATGAGTCTTCTCTTTAGATCAATATTGAGATAAATAGCAGGAGCTCAGCTCTCACCACACAAAGATTGAGGAGCCACAGCCACTTGATCCAGCTCTGAGAGAGTGAGGGGCTGTAAGAGTTCTCATCTACTCCCAAGTCACATGGGCCCAGCTCCAAATCCTGGTTCCTCCCTTCCTAAAGGAATGGATCTAGGAGAGGAAGTACTTGGAAGCCCCTCTATTTTTGGGACTGCCCACTGAACTTCATGCCTCGTCTTTCCCCCAGGCAAGCTTTCTGTTCTGTCCCTTCTCCCAGCCACAACTAGCATATTAATTCACAGCCACCTCTGTTGGGTAGGAGTTGACCTCTGCATCCAGAGAGAAGCTAACTTTTTAGTCAATCCTGGTCACTGAATCTGAGTGTCCCTCTGATGGTGGCTAAATAAAGCCTCTGTTTTTAGCACTCTCCTTTACTTTACACTTGAGAAAAGGGAAGATCTGATCCACATATGGCCCGCTCTTTTTATCCCTAGGCCTCCCATACCTCATCTGATGCCTGAAGAGGCTGACTTCTCTCTCAGCAATTCCTCCTAGGTTTTCTTATCCCCAGGACCTAGTGACTCCTGACTGGTTCCCCAAACACTTATAGTTTCCAAGGAAAGGATTGAAGTTTTAGAGTAGCTCAAGGAAAAAAGTTGCTGCTTTTATTCTTGGCTCCATAAAACTCTTTCCTAAAATACTATCTCCTACCCAGGAAGATAATCCTGGGATCTCTAACCCTTGGGCTTGAATTCTTGGCAATTAAACACAAAGAAAAGATAAATCTAGGTCAAAGGGAGTAATCTGCTCTGTAGCTGAAGGTGAGAAAATATAACAGACTATTTATTATTATGGTTGGCTAATACAATAGCCACCTATGGCTATTTATATTAAATTAAATTTTTTAAATTAAAATTTTAAAAGTACTTAATAGCCAATGTACCACATTGAATGGCACAGTTATAGAGAGCATTTCATCAGCACTGTTTCAGGGGCATGGCATTGCCCTTTGACCCTGTCAATGTGGTGTTTCTTTAGCATCTTTGGAAATGTCTTTGTTTCTCTTGGTACTCTTTGTGGGTATGATGCATTATTCTAGAAAAACACACTACTGATGACTGAATTAACACAAAAGCAAAACCAAAAATAACTGCCATAAATACAGTAGTTGGAGGGAGGTACATTATCAAAAGGCTGCATTTTCCCCAGTTTTCTTTTTTCTAATCCCCTTCTGCAAAAGCATTCTTCCTTCTTTTTCATTTACCTTTCTGTTCTATCTGTAGAGTATCTTATTCTAGGTATGGCTTCTCAGACAAAGTGAAACGGTAGACTTCACCTCAAAAAGAAAAGGATCAGAGAAAAACCAAAAGTCTGTTTAGGGCACAGGAATACACATTTGGGCAGAATGCCCCAATCACATACCAGGAAAAAGGAAAAGAAGCAGAAAGACACAATGAGACTGGGAGGAGCTAATGAGCCCAGGACAACAGGGGTCTAGTCTGGAAAGTAGGTCTGGAGGGTAAGGCAGACTGGGCCAGTGCTCACAATTCCCGAGGCTGGCAGGCTGCCCAGGTGCTCAGGAGTTCCTTTGTGCAAGAATTTCCTCTTCAGAATCCTCCCTCTTAGGAGCAGCTTCTTCCATAAGAATTTGCCTTCAACTCATGAGTGATCGCCATCCTAGACTCAGTGTGTACATGAAGAAGATATAATGGGTTAATTGCTGTGCTTTGAGGAAGGAGGCCTCCATCCCTGATCTCTTGGATGAGTTGCAAGGACCGTGCTCCTCTCCTTACCAGCACTGTCTGTGGTTTCCCTCTCTTAACACCCATACCCATGTAATGGGATCTTTAATGCTTGTGTTCTTCCCTAGGTGAAACTAGGGAGACTGAGTAATGCTTTGAAACATGGCAGGCAATGAGGTTGGCAGGTCAAAGGCAGGATAAGGTTTAAATAGTGAGGGTTAGGGGCCAAGGATCACAGGAGACAGAAAGCAGGGCAAGCAAGGGGCAAATTGAGGTGGGCATCAGGAGCAGGTGTGTAGAACTATACACTGAGTGGCCAGATTATTATGACCACCCCATCAGTACTTCATTGGGCCACCTTTTGCCTTCAATACTGCAGTGATTCTTCTTGGCACTGACTCCACGAGATGTTGAAAGGTGATGCGAGGAATCTGACACCATGCCTGATGAATAGCACTGTCCAGTTCTGTGAGATTTGATGGTTGTGGAACCAGCTGCCTGATGGCTCTTTTAACTTCGTCCCACAAATGCTCAACTAGATTGAGATCTGGTGATTGTGGGGGCCACCTAAGCAAGGTACAGTCTTCGTCATGTTCTTGAAACCATTCCTGCACAATATGAGCACCATGGCATGGCACATTGTCTTGTTGGAAGAATCCATCTCCATTGGGATACGCCATCAACATGATAGGATGAACTTGATCAGCAACAATACTTAAGTATGTTGTGCTATTCAGATGTTTATAATGGTCTGGCCCTCTAGCAACTTCAGTGTGAAATTATAGTTAATTTGCCTACAAACGTCAGGTGGTCATAATAATCTGGCCACTCAGTGTATATAGTTCTGCAGCCCTGCAGCCAGAAGACTGGAGATGGGGCAACTTTTTGGACTCATCCCTGAGGCTTTTCTCTGCTTTCTTGGAAGGTAGGACCCACCCCCACCCCTAAGCATGGCTGGCCACAGGCTTGTCCAGGTTGATCACAGTACAAAGTGAAGGTGTGGATAAGAAGTTAGCTGGTTGGTGTTCTGGGGTTTCCCATCCCTTGGATGGGGGCAAAGGTTGTTCCTCTCTGTATTGTAAACTTCAAACCTTTCTTCAGTCTTGAGTGAGTTCCCAATGTGAATACAGCAATCAGGATTTCCACTCTACCTGAACTCCGCCCCTGCCCCCTTCCACTCCAGTGTCTGCCAAATGCAGTTTAAAGCTACTGATGTATAATGCCCCATTTCCCTTTTTGTCTTGCAGCTGTCTCCAACCTGGACATTGAGAGTAAGCTGAGTGTGTACTACCGTGCACCGTGGCACCAGCAGAGAAACATCTTCCTCCCGGCCACGAGGCCACCCTGTGTGGAGGAACTGCACCGCCATGCCCGGCAGAGCCTGCAAGCCCTGCGCAGAGGTAATTAATCCCAGGCTTGGAGGGCTTTTCAAGGAGAGAACTCAGAGAATGTCCCATTCAGTTGTTCTCTCTCCCATTACTCGCAATGCTTCCTTTTGTTAGAGCAAGTATTTTGAAACACTCCCTTTCCTAACCTGAAATGAAGTCATAGATAATATAAACTACCTATACACATAATTAAAAGTAGCATTATGGTCTAAATATGATAATAAACAGAATTTAAAAGGAAAATATTTATTGTGATAGTAATACTTGCAACATGCAAATGCCTGGGCATGACTACACTAGAACACATAATGAAGCAGGGTTTGCACCTATCAAAGTAGCTTTAAATTAAAAACAATCACAAGTCATTCTGAAAAAAAAATTATCCGGGAATGAAGGGGTTGAGGGGTAAGAGGACACACCATAAACACTGGTGTATTCAGAGTACATGAAACATGATCCAAAAAACCACACACACCCTTGGATTATAACTAAAAGGGATTTAGGTTTGATTCAGAAATACGTTCTAGAGTGTCCCTTTACAAGAAGTTCTGGCGGGATATTTGTGGGACTTGGGGCACTGTTTCATTGTTCAGGACTGTCCTGTACATTGTACATTGTAGGACAGCTGTTATCCTTGGCTCCTGTCCAGTCATCAAACAACCAGACCTCTCCCATAGAGCTCTTCTGCTCCTGCTGAGAATCAGTGATCTGGTCCATTCTACAGTGGAGCACGTGGAGGCCTAGAGATGTCAGGAAACTTGCTCAGAGTCACATATAGCAGGTTAGGTACAGTGCCAGGACCCAGACCTGGGCCTCCAGACCTCCAGCCAGAGCTCTCTCCCTCTTCACTATACACCGTGTTCTAGGTAAATAACTAAATATTTCTATTTTGGTTTCTCTCACAGTCCTGAGAAAGCTGGAGTTAGGCACATAGCAGTCAAGGTAAAAGATACAGCCCTTTCTTACACTGGTTACTTTTCAATGCCTTAAAATCATTCTAATTAGGACAAGGAGATTACAATCTGGTATCATTCTCTTAGAAACTCCTAACTTGGGTATCAGAAGTTCACATGTCAGCTTTTTTGGCCTTTATATTTGTGCTATGGAGAAGATAGTGCCTGTACATTCAATGTCTTTGTTACACATTCTTAATGCTCCTTTAAAAAACTGTATCTTGCCCTAATCGGTTTGGCTCAGTGGATAAAGCGTCAGCCTGGGGACTGAAAGGTCCCAGGTTCGATTCCGGTCAAGGGCATGTACCTTGGTTGCGGGCACATCACCAGTAGGGGGTGTGCAGGAGGCAGCTAATTGATGTTTCTCTCTCATCGATGTTTCTAACTCTCTATCCCTCTCTCTTCCTCTCTGTAAAAAATCAATAAAATATTTTTTAAAAACTGTATCTTGCAAAAGTATTAATATTCAAATAAAATATTTTAAAGTCACTATCAAAATGGGAGAAATAAATTGACAAATGTTGGTTTCAGCTTATTTTTTCCACATATGTATGACTTCTCCCTTTTCTCCAATTCCTAGTCATTTTCCCCTTTAATAAAAGAGCTAACCTACTGATATCCCTAACACAATTATTTCTCACAATTCCCCTTGGTTATTAGTAGTAGACACTGTGATGCTTACAATGAAGAATGATGATAAGTATCCTCTAGAAAGAAATATCTCTGGCATTTTTATTATTCCTTTGATATTATACATGGCTTAAAAGGCCTTCTTTACCAAATTTTCAGTGCAAGCCACCTTCCGGAAATCATCCCTAAAACTCTTGCCATTCCTTTGCAGGTTGGATTAGACACCCTTCCCATAATATCCTGTGCATCTTCCCATCATGTCACTTATAAGCTTATATTATAACTAAAAACCTATAGTCCTATCTTCCACCATTTCTCCATGAGCAACTCAAGGGCAAGGATATCTTATTAATTTTTTTTTTATTCCAAGCATTTACCATGAATGTGACATACAATATGTCCTCAATGAATGTGCAACTGAATGAAATTCTGCAGAGAACTGGTTGAGCATTGAGGGCACAGAATGATGACAGGGAAATGTGATCATTCTCACTAAATACTTTCTTTGATCCCATCATTAGAGAGCTCGAGTAACATTAGCCCTTTAGCCATAATTATTTTTATCCACTTATTATTATTATTCATAAATCAGTCTTGATTCAATTTTTCCAGATTCAACCAGATAACTTTAAGCTGTTCATAGCTATCATATTTCACTGTGTTGTCAGGTTTGAGCTTAATGGCATAACTGAGAAACAGCAAGTGCCAATATCAGTTTTCTGTGAACTTCCTCCTAGGGGCTGAGAGAGGGATGTGGGGGCTCGTGGGGTTTGGAAGGAAGACCCTGGAGCTGCATCTTGCATCCACAGACTGGCTGGCTTTGTGGTTGTCTCAATAACAAATCTTGGGTGTGGTGGTTTTAATAGCACTGCAGAGAGCCATAAACAGAAATTATAGGCATCATAGAATTAAAAACATGCAGTGTAGAATTAAAATTAGAAAGTGACTTTTTTTTTTAACCTTGTCCAAGAAACACAGCGGCTTAGCAGTGCCATCAACAGAATAGTACTTCTGCCATCTGGTGGCCATGACTAATTCTGACCTATCAGACAATGACCTTGCTCAGCAAATGCTGCAGTGAGTTTCCCTGTAGATTTTCTATTTGGACAGCTGGAATATCCTGGCTTCCACCAGGGGGGAGAGGATACTGAAGCTATAAGGAGGGAGCTGGAATATTGAGATCAGAACCTAGAAATTGGCTGCATTCAAGATCTGTTCAATAGCAAACCACTCAACAATGTCTATTGAGGGTCAGACATTGTGATAAACCTGGGATTCAGACAGCAATAATGTTATTGTCCCTGCCCACAGGGAATTCCTGATCTAGTTAGGAAGATAAGTAACCAGGTAATTTCAACATTGTGATATGAGGCTCAGAGAAAAGGCAATAATTATGTCATGGAGCTTCAGGGAAGGCTCCCCAGAAGAACTAGCATCTTAATGTATTTCAAGTTATTTACAATCTGATTCCTCTTTTTCCTCCATTTCTTAGCAATTCTTTATACTCAGAGACAATAATGGCTTTGAGTAATGCCATTGTTTATGTTTGTAAGATAAGGAGAGATTACTAGATGGCTAAAAAGAGATATTTATATTTTATATTTCCTTTCCTTTCAAGTTGCAGGGCTAAGGTTTAAGTTCCATTTACCTACAGTAATAAGAACCAAGGGTTGACTGTAGTGTCAGGCTCTAGTAGACAAATGTTCTCCCCCGCCCCCGCCCGCCAGAGAAGAGCATTATCAGGGAGCCATTAATCTAGCCTGCTTGCTCCCTGCCTAGTGTGAATGAAAGAGATCTATTTAAGAAAGTGTAGGAGGGAAGCAATTGAATGGGAAATTGAGTCAATGTCTCCCTCCAGACTCCTCCCTTCCTTCAACCTTTTCCTAACCATTGACACCTGTATTCTATTCTTCATTATGAATTTAAGACTTCCAAAGCTTTTCCTTGCACTACTCATTTAGTAAAAAGCCCACCGTTTGCTTGTAGAGAAAAATGAGGGTGGTACTGGAGGTAGGCACTGTAACAAAGAAGACATTTATCTAAAAAAAATGTAGTTAGTTCTGTTTCTTGATAAACATTGGCTGTGAAGGCAGTTTAGCTAAGACTACCTACATGGTGATGAAGACTTTTTCTGTTTGCTAATTGGAGTCAACATTTGACTAAAGAATCCCAAGAAAAGGAAGATGAGGAATACTACCATGTTTTCCTGCCACAAATAAAGTCAGTAGTTTAGGCAGAGAGACCCACAGATAGCCAAATCAGACATAGAAAGAAATATGAAAGCTCAAGAGTGCACGGGTAAATTTAGAGTGTAGCACACTGACTACAGTGAAGAGGAAATGGGGCTGGCGTTAACGAAGCCAGTGGAAACAGGCAACAGGACCTAGAGAAGGTCCTACCAATTAGTGAAAAAGATAGGGGTACACTCTAATATTAAAAGACTAGACTTTGACCAAAGTATTAATTCATTCTTCCTTCCAGTCTCTCAACAAACATTTATTTAGACCACACTACATCTCAATCTAAATAAAATGTAGTCTCTGCCTTCCCTCTAGTGATAAAGGCAGGCATATAGTGATATCTTGATTTTTATTAATACAGAGATAGAGTTATCAGGACTTTGGAGAAAGGGCTTACTTCTGATGTTGCCTGAGAGGATCAGCATAGTTAGTTCTGTTTCCTAACATGGGTAAAAAAAACAAGTAGTGTCTTATGAGCTGTCAAATATTCTATATTCTATTATCAATATTCAAAGAATTAGAATGTGATAAAATATAATTATAATTCAATATTATAAAACCTAAACAGTCTTGCTCTGATGAGTGAGAAAGTATGTTAGGGCCTTACAGTGCCTATAGATTAAGTAGTGGTAAAGAACAGGGTCCTTGGGCCAAGTGTGTACTACTGATAGCTCGGCCTAGCCTCCCTGAGCCTGTTTAGGCATCTGCAGAAGAGGTGTGGTGTCAGCACCTACTTTGAGATGCATATAAGAGCTTTAACAAAGTGTCTTTGGCATAGGGCAATTGTTCAGTAAATATTGGGCATCATAGTTATAATTATTGATGTTCTGAGTAATGGTGATTTTAAATAATAGAAGGGTTGATTAAGAAATATGCTGTACCAATATGTACCTTCGTCATGATGTAGTCATGAGATTTCAGGTCCTGGGCATGAGTATAGGCTAGTTTTTGGCAGGTGGAATGGCATTTGGTGTGGCTAGTGTGTTAGGTTGGGCATGTCTTGGGGCTTATTTAAACACCCAAAAAGCTAAATGGTTCTCTTAGTGTCTCAGTGATTCTTGCTATGAAGTCAGCACCATTTCATCCCACATATGAAAATTTCTTGGCTTTTCCCAGTGGTAGCTTTATTCCTAAATCAGACAACTGTTGTCATTGAGAGTTCTTTACTTTCCCTAGGAGCCCAGAGTTTCAAAGCCCTCTGAGTGTTATGGGTGACAGGGCTCGGATGACTGAAATTGTGTGCTGGTCACTGGCTCTCTAAACAAACAAACAAAAGTAATTAAGTAAACAAAAAAATAAAAGCCCTGATTTATAGTTCTCACCAATACCTGTGATATAAATTCTCACACTATGGCCTATTTCAAGCTACCAACAGTTTAAAAACCAGCTTGTAAAATTCCTGAACATACAGCACTCAGCACCCCTGAGCCTATATGAGCTGGTCCAGCACCTTTGAGATGGCTGTGAGAATTTATCCCTGGCACTCCCTGGGTGTCTCTGGCATGTCTGTGCCACCACATCTTCCACCATTGTTCTGGATATTTTTTGCTCATGTTGTTTTGAAATGAAGCACATTTAGAAATATGCTGCTTTTTCCAAACTCAAGATTGAACCATCTTGTATGAAGATTATGAGATGGACCCATTGAAATGTAAGTGTATAACTTCATATTAATATGAAGTGAAAGTTTAGTTCAGAACCATTCTGAAAGTCTTATTTGATATACAAATGAACTAACTTAACAACTCACCTTTCTCCAGCCTTTTGCTCAGCCTCCCACCAAGACAAGAGACATTGAAAATGCCAAGTATATTTATGCATTACTGCTTTTTCTGCCCCTAGAACATCGGAGCCGGAATGATCGCCGGGAGCAGAGAACTGCTGTGCCCCTTTCTGTAACTGCTCCTCCATTGCCAGCGTACCCCCCAGCTCACAGCCAGAGGAGGCGCGAAGTTAAGGAACGTCACTTCTTAACGGTGAGCTTTGTGGCCAGCTGGCAGCCCTGTCCTTGCTCATCAGGAAGCAGGAGTAGGTTTTAGGAATTAGTTTCCCTCCTAGCGAAGGAGACTGGGCTGCCTGAGAGAGTGAATCATGTGCATTTGAAAACAACTTAATTTCCCCCCTTTCATTCCTGAAAAAAAAAAAAAATGCCTTTTTTTTTTTTTTTTTGCATAGAGTGGGGATACAGATATATATTTTTTTTCAGTTCCTGGTTGTATAATGCAATAAAGCAGTAACAGTTAAGGAATCTAAAAATCAGAGGTAAATTTTACTTCAAAACCTTCTGCACACAAACTGAAAGATTTAGGGCAGGTTACTTACCTTCTTTGCCTTCAGTTCCCTTGTCTGTAACACGAGGATATTAAGTGTACCTAGATTATAGTGTTTGCGGGTTAAAGGCATGAAAATAACTTAGCACAGTGCTTGGCATGGAGTAAGACCTCAACAAACATTAACTACTACAACCACCACTATTATTCCTAGTCAAGTGAGAGTTTGGCTGATTCAATGGGATGAGCTGGGAGAGAACTTAAATGATGTGTTAACTTTCCATTTGTGCACAGTTCATTTCATCATTTCATGCTTCCCCATTCTATAAAGGAGGCTAGTTCTTCAGGGTAGCCAATTACCAGAGTGATATCATCACCAAAGGTGATTTCAGCCTTACCCAGGTGGCTGTGGCTGTAGCTTAGACCAACCCCCAAGTATAGATCACAGATGATGAAACTGAGCACAGCTCAGAACATCTGCATTCCCTTGCAGACTATTAGCAGCCACTGCACAAACCATCGGCCCAGATGTGCCTCTGGGGCCTCAGTGGGGACAGCTTTGTCCCTCTGAGTAGGGCATCACTGTCATGAGGAGCTATGGTTTTTGTGACCAAATCAGCCCATACTGCCTGCCTGAATGGCTGGACCCCTGCTCTCTTGTCATTTTAGTATGAGGCCCAAAGTCTAAAGAAGTTACAAGAGTGTGGTTACACGGTTAGATTTTTATTTGAATTAAATTTATGTGTATGACTATAAACCCTGCACCCTTATGGCTTTTACAATATGCAAAATAGATGCAAATTATTTGGGTCAGATGATGCCAAACATCCAGATAAACAGACTTCATCTGAATGAGTCTGCATGATATGACGTATCCAGATAAAACAGTGAGTGATACTGGACAGTACATAGGCATATTTCCTACTTGTGGCTGGACAGTAAGCTTCATGTCCTTCAGACTCATAGAATGTCTACTGAGGGTCATGTCACCCTCACTACATTGCTGAAATGCAGCCCAGGAGTAAAGAAAGAAGGTAAGCGCCTCTTAGAGTTTTCTAGGTCTTTTTATAGAGCAGTTACCATGTTAGTGATTTGTCATAAAAGCCCCTGCTCAACAAAAGCTCATATTAAGCTCAGCTCTGCTTGCTGAAGTATTTGCTTTTAACGAGGCATTTTCTGCATAAAATGCTAAAAATATTTTCCCCATTCGTTATATATGTCTTGTGGCTCATTAAGTTGGTTTTCTCGGGGGAGGGGAGAGAGGAATGTTGAGCATTTATAGAAATGACCTAAAATATTACCCTTAGTCATATTCTGCATAATTTTTAATAATGTCTAATTACCAAAGTAAGACTACAGGAAAGGGCTTAAAATAATGAACAGCAATGAGGGTATTTACCCAACAAACATCAATAAGAATGTAGATCATACTTATGTAAATTCCAGAAAATTTACCCATCTCAAATTATAATAGTTAGTATTTAAGTAAGTTGGGGAAATATAAAGTGTTTCATTTGTTCAATTGAGTTTGGGTCACCAGGATCATAGGAAGATTTTCCATTCATGTCATATCCCCCAGACTTGGAGCTGACTCAGAATAGAACATGGTTCTATGCAATTGGCTCACAGTACTGTATATTACTGTAATAGCAAAAGCTGCAGGTATAAGGACAAGAAATTTGCAGCCAAGTTTCTAGATACACATTTTCTTAGATAGCAAATTGCTTGATAGACCTTTTCTTAGACAGCAACTCTCCTTTCAACTATAAGACTTTAGGTTAGCCATTTTTTCCTCCTATAGAAAAGCATTCATAATGAGAGTATGATATACAATATTCCACAGCTCTGTAAACTGTGATACTGTACTTTGGTCATTAATGGCATGGACTGTGAAGCCAAACTGCCCGGACTTGAATACCAACTCTGCCATTTACTAGCTGTGTGACCCTGGACAAGTGAATCATTTCAGTGACTTGGGGATAATGTAGATAATACCTCATAAGTTTGGAACAAGAATGTGTTTATACATGCCAACAGTACCTGATACCTAATAAGCACTCAATATATAGTAGACATAATCATTGTTATTTTTATTAGCCAATCAAGTCTCTGATGTATCACTGATATATGTAGTGATAATATTATAGGTCTAACTAGGTTTAAATCCTAGCTCTACAACTTTTTGGTTATGTGATTTGGAAGATTTTATTATATCTTTCTGAGTCCCTGTTTCTTTATCTGCAAAATGGGGATAATAGCTTTAATTTTACAAGGTTGTTAAGAAGGCTTAATACAATGTTATGTAAGTATGTTTAAATTGTGTGTGTTTCTGTGTGGGAGTGAAAGTATCAGCACAGTGCCTAAAATACATGAATATCTGAATCTATATTCATAATCACAATAAAACTCTTACCATAAAATTAAAAGCTATAATGTATACTCATGTATAAGACTGGAGGAAGTAAAAGTTGTCACATCTTTTCTACAGGGCAATTTCCCAATACTTATCAACACTATTATAGATTCATATCTTTTGATCCAGCAAGCCTATGTGTAGGAATTTATCCCAGGGCAATAACAAGAGTGATGCAAACATTTAATCACTAGGGTGTTCACCAAAATACTGTCTACAATAGGGAAAATAATTACAAATATCCTAAAAGTTCACCAGTAGAGATTTACTTTAATGAATTCTGTTATATGCATAAGTAAATATACAATATAAAAATGTATTATAGAAGAATATAATGACATAGAATATGTTTTATCATCAGGGATTTTTAAACAGTGTATAGTATGACCTCAAAAAATATCTATGAGTATATATGTGAGTATGTATAAACATATGCAGAGGGGAAAAGGTTGAAAGGCTATACACCATATACTGTGGTTCCCAAACTGTGTGATGAGGTACTCCAGGGCACTATAGTAAAATCATAAGGGTGCCTTGGGTTATTTAAATTTTTCAAGGGACAAGATGTCATTTGTCTAGTGATATTTGGTGATGGCTCCAAAGTAGCCTCATAGCTTCTATAAGTGGAAAGAGGGGAAACTTAGTTTCTTGACATTTGATTTCTATCAACAGTTCTCCAAGAGGAACTCACAGGAAACTGACCATCCAATTTAGCTTAAAACCCTCTGTCAGTTGAAAATTCAAGGGGTGTCTTCTAATTAAAGCACATCTTGTAGTCCTCCCTCATCATGGATGGCAAAGGAGGTGATTTTAGGCTCAGATAGATTCCCAGAGGAATTGTTCTAAGCCTTCAAAGTCCAGATAATCCCAATGCTCTATAAATTATTTCAGAGCATTGAAAAAGCATGGTATATTTATACCATGGAATACTATGCAGCAGTAAAAAGAAGGATATCTTATCCTTTGAGACAGCATGGAGAGACCTGGAGAGTATTATGCTAAGCGAAATAAGCCAGTCAGAGAAAGACAAGTGTCGTGTCACATGATCTTATTCATATGTGGAATCTAATGAACAAAATAGGTCTAGAGAAATAGAAGCACAGAACAGACTGTGGAATCTCAGAGTGGGGGTGGGTGGATGGATGGGAAGAGATAAACTAAAAAACTTGTATGCATAATGCATAAATCGTGGACAGACAATAGGGTGGTAAAGGCCTGGGGTGAGGGGCAGGGGCAGGCCAGAAGGGATTCATGGGGGAAAAAAAGGGTACATATGTGTTTTTTTTAAAAAAAGTTAAATCTTTATTGTTCAGATTATTACATTTGTTCCTCTTTTT